TCAATATGGGGTGCTGTGTGTACATTAATGAGGAAAAAAATGAACTTAAATGATTTTAGCATATGGCTGCAATATAACAAAGAGTGAAAAATTTAAGGGAGTCTGAATACTTTCCATACCCACTGTACCTTGATAAACTTGGGAATTTATTTTTCACTCCACATTGGCAAGTGGTCCAGGTCCAGAGGCAGCAAAGCAGCTCCACATCACGATGCTCCCTCCACTGTACTTCACTGTTGGGACGATGTTTTCATATTGGTACATGGTTGTTTTTTTTACGCCATACGTAGTGCTGTGTGTTGTTAGGTTATTTTTTAGTTAGATAGATATTCAGAGATTTGTTGTCTAGGACTGTTAGTGTAGCCAGGATGTCTTCCTCAGGCTGTTAAATGCAAGGTTTGTTAAGGCAGAAGGGCTCAAGTCAGGGACAAATGTTATTATGACTGTAAAAGTAACCATAATATTTGTCTTAATGTGTAATGTTATGTCAAATTGTTTTAGATACACACCACGAAAACAACAGCCACACACATTATTTTCTTCATGTTTGGTCTACTGCTCTGCTCAGCTGCCAAGCTGGCATATCAGGTGACGTCACGGTTCGACAGCCCAGAAAGGATTAATATTGTATAGCAATGCTTGGTTCGGGGTCTTCCTGTTTCCGGGCTGCTTTTGGCAGGCTGGGGGTTGGAAGATCTCTGGACTTGAAGTGTGAATTCTTGCCTGTGACTTTTTGAATAAACCAGCACGGATATATTTTTTATATACTCAAGTGGTCTGAGTCGTCCCTCTGAGTTCCTGGTTTGAAAGAACCGGATGAGGCTTTATAATGGTTTTCAGCCTTTACAGTAAAAGAACATACTTTCCAGAAGGCCAGCAATTCACTAAAAATGTTTTTTTTTAATAGGTCTTATGAGGTATTCTAATTTATTGAGATAGTGAATTGGTGGGTTTTTGTTAAATGTGAGCAAAATCATCACAATTAAAAGACCCAACGGCTTAAACTACTTCATTCTGTGTGTACTGAATGTATATAATACACGAGTTTCACTATTTGAGTTGAATTACCGAAATAAATGGACTTTTCCATGATATTCCGATTTATTGAGATGCACCTGTACAGTCAAACACATTCAGGTCATTTGCCAGTTGATGATGACCTTCCACAGTGGAGGAGGGGGTCCTGAAGCTAGTGATGTTTTTCAGGCTTCTCCACACAGATGAGAGGTCGCTGGCTGAAACCTGAGCTTTCAGCTTTTCAGAGTAGCTCCTCTTTGCTACTCTGATCTCCCTCATCAGTGTGTTCCTGGCCTGCCTGTATAGGATCCTTTCACCACTTCCGTAGGCCTTGTCTTTGGCACAACGAAGTTGCTTAAGTTTTTCTGTGAACCAGGGCTTGGTGTTGTTGTATGTGCAGAAGGTCTTGTTGGGCACACACGTCCTCACAAAAGCTGTTGTAAAATGTCTCAGTGTCAGCTGGTTCATCCAGGTCTGTAGACACAGCCTCAGATACACTCCAATCTGTGCAGTCAAAGCAGGCCTGTTTCGCTGACTTTGCCTGTTCAGTTCATCTCCTCACCATTTTGATCACAGGCTTTGCAGCTTTATGTTTCTGCCTATACAGTATGTTTGCTATAAGATGGACCATACAGTGATCAGACAGACCAAGGGCTGCACCGGGGACAGAGCGATAGGCGTCTTTTATTGCTGTGCAGCAGTGGTTCATTGTGTTTTTGTCCCTGGTGGGACAACTGACATGCTGTCTGTAGTTGGGCAGGTCATGGGTGAGATTTGCTCTGTTAAAATCCCCTTGAGCAGTGAGTGGGGGGTTGGGATGTTTGAGTTCTATGCTAGTTATCTGTTCGGCCAGGTGCTGTAGTGCGCTGGAGTTGGCCTGCGGTGTTATATACACTCTGACTAGAATGAACGACGAAAACTCTCAGAGAATAAAATGGGTTGCAGTTGATGAAAAGAGTCTTTAGGTCCTTGTTGCAAGCTCTTTCTAACCTTCATTTATGTAGAAGCAGATTCCACCTCCTTATGTATAGTAGCTCTTCTGTGGTAAAGGTAATCCAGGGTGGGTTGCAGAAGACAGAGAAAACAAAGGAGAAACAACAAACACGAGTTCATGCTACCAAGGTAGCCATATGTGGTGCCATAATAAGTTATCTCATCTTTTTATGATGATTTACAGTTCACTATTTTCAGTTTAAATTTAGATTTTACATACTGTCCCAACTTTTCCTGATTTGGGGTTGTACATAGTGTAATAAATGTCACACTTGTGGGGCTCAGCTGTAACCGGTAGAAAGTGTAAACAAAAAGCAATCATGCTGGGGCTGTTTGACTGCATGTGCATGCTTCCATACAGCGGGGACAACAGCGTATGAATTTATTTTCTCCTATAGACATTTGAGCGGTACACACAATCCCTGCTATCCTCTGCCGTATCCTAGAAAATGACATGAAATTCAAGGACCTGCAATTTGTTCGAAGCTGGAAAGTTGAGCTGTAAAATTAATCTGTTGGAACAGCCACTATTTCGAGAACATTCTGAACATGTTCCACTGAAAGAGTGGAAAATTGTTAAAAACATGTACCAGTGACCCGAGAGCCCCTCTGAGTGGAAAACAGCCTGTCAAATAATATGATGAGTAA